AAATAAATTAGTCGATGTAAAATTAAGTAACAGAGGTGTCTGTAAGCGAAATAAATTAGTCGATGTAAAATTAAGTAACAGAGGTGTCTGTAAGCGAAATAAATTAGTCGAGGTAAAAAACAGATTAGAGAAAACAATGGCACAAAATAACGAGTCAACCCGTTAGCAAACCGGAATCGCACTCAGAACCATGATCGTATTTTGCGTTGAAAGCAACAATGAAAGAAGTGAAAGGGCGTGAAAGTAGACAAAACGGTGCGAATCTCTACTTGAAAGCCAAGAAAATTATAACTTGACCACCTTTACACTATCAATTACCCTACTCATGATATCTATCGTACGCATACTTTCGGCGCATCCTACCGCTATCAACTTGTGCTTAGCTCGTGTTAATGCAACATTAACTCTTCGCCGATCTCGGAGCAAATCACACTTCTGAAATTTTTTATTTCATTTTGGAAACTTTTTAAAGTATAGTACAGCAGGAATTGCCATTCTCGCATTCTCAATTACTGAAATAATACTGTTTAAATATTAATTTCAGCTAATACCCCTTGTCGTGAACAATTAACTCTACCGTTTCCTAGTCTCTACCACTTTTTTCTAGCTTCTAGGACGTTTCTAAGCGAGGTACAACATGCTTTGCACGCTTCGGAGTTTCGCTCACTTAATACACCTCAAACCATGCCTGTGTCTAGCGGTTTTTGCTGGTTCTGAGGGCAGCTTGCAAGCGAGCTATGAATTTTCGTTTTGAGCTGCGCCAATTTAAAGAGCATTATTCTCACTGCCACTAGATCTCCTTATCTTTGCCTGAGAAACCGGTGCCCGCCTGAACTACCTCATCCTGGTTTCTGAGCTGCTCCGAAACCAAGCTACAATGTTTTACCTCTATCTTCCCCTATTTTGGTGCACGTCTCGCAGGCACAGCTCATTCTAGTTCGTTTCTGCTTTATTCATCTTAGCTTTTGCCCATCCCCATCCCAATTTTATCCAGGTGCCTCAAGAACTGCATTCCTCGCAAGCACAAACCCACATCCCACATACACATATACATGTATATGTATTAAATATGCCCATGCACAGGTACAAAGCTTCAATTTAGTAAGAATGGTCCCTGTATAGGGCAAGGTCTGTGCTATACAACATTGCTCGATCGAAGTTCTTAGCAACGATTCACTTGAAACATAAAAAAAATCGAACTACGTTTGCGCAACAATGGACGACCTTGATTTACATTTTAGTATTCGCATTCGTATAAAAAGAGGATCGAAATTTAAAGTGTTAGAAAAACCGCTCAATCTCTTGTTCTACCGTCACTACAACGGCAGGTTTTTGCACAAGTAATTCTGAAGGAACGGAGATGATGTAGTGCAAAGTATCGCTCTGTCACAAATGTTCTGAAAACCGAATCCCGGATAAACACCTGTCCAGGCAAACCAATTACTCCTCCATTACTTCAGAGTGCGGTTTTGGCACCTCCTTGCCTGGGAATATCCACCGGACTTCAAACAGGAACTTGGCTGATAGGATCAAGGCACTGATTTGAGAACCATTTTACTGTCCATTTGATAGATCTAATAGAGCATTTAAACGCCACAACGATTCCGAATGAAAGTTGAAAATGTTGGCGGCCAGAAAAACGAAACTAATCTGCACCAAGATCAACCGCTCTTTGTCTTGACGAATCACCTCTCGATTTTGACAGCACCAGCATATGGGTCCCACTAATGGTTTACAGAATACCTCAATATATACACTCAATGCTTCATTCATACAGGGATTGTACTCCGTCAGCGTATGAGTGGTGGAAGTTCTCTCATCAGGCCTAATTAGTTCGAAACATTCACCCCAAAACACTTCTACTTGGTAGCGAACAGCTGGAAAGCTTACCCTCCCAGAATCTTCTGTCCACACCAAAGACCACACTATCACCCTTTTATCGCGTCCTTGGAACTGGTCTACTGAGTTCACCTGAACATATGCAATCGAGCTACGAAAGACGGAGATGCATGGAAGCAACGTTTACCTCGATCTTAATATCATCACCTAGAATTGATTTAATAACGTCAACCTGTTTTCGGTAAACGCACATAACGCCGATGTCTTCTGCTCGAACACCATTCTGAAATCTCAATATGAAGGTGTGTCCGATTACACGCTCGTAATAGTTCGAGAATAACAGGTTACGATTTAAAAACAAGTTCGCAATAATTTTGAGGTACCCTTTTTAAGTCGAAAAATGGAAGTACTGTTTGGTAATAGTGCATCGGTAGTGAAGGAAGCGAAGAAATTCGCCGAGTTCGCGAAAAATGAGGCTTCCAAAAGCAGTGAAAACAGAGGTTGCACGAGATCACCATGGCGAAAATGACATGGAAGGGGTATTTGGACGAGATTTCAGTTGTTGCAATTGCGCAAAGGGCTGACTACATCAAGCCAAACTGTCTAGAATTGTAATTCACTGTCATTATGGGTGACAAGTTGTTTGAACTTCTTACATAAAATCCCTTGTGAGTGGTGCAGCCTGTACAATGCCGTTGGAACCCGTCAACGCATATACAGGGGACAATCCTTGAGCCTTTATAACGCTATATCTTGACCGTCTTTCGATTTGACAGCGCCACATATGATGTACGAGGGGAACACGAACTTATCCAAGCGCGATATCTCAAAGGTCATTTTTATCGTGAACTCTGCCTTTAAGTACGAATGAAACCACCTCAATAAACCGTAAGACGATATCGCGGACTAGTCGCGCTTCACCGAAGTTTTGTATCAACCGGTTGTCGGAGCTTGAGGCAGCGAACTCCTTCCTCGTTTTTGCACAAGTGTCCACAAAAACCACAGCATCATCTAACTCGCCGCTTTCAATGATCCTCCATGACTCTAGGAATATATGGTTAGAATCGCATAAGTGGATGCTCAGCTACGTGGAGAATTGTGTTTACTTACTGTAAATTCTTATGTACAATTAGGCCTACATTTCAATTCCTATCAGCATATGACGAAATAGTGATAATTACTTACCGTCCCTACTCGGCAAGGGCATAAAATCTGCCGAATTTGACAGGCATGCGTTAGCGACGTTATCATTGGCACACCTGAGACGATTTTCGTAGAATAAACTGCTACTAAGACTAGCGATTGGGCTGAAATAAAAATATAGTTTTTACCAAACAATGTGCTAAAAGTGCGCGACAACAAGACCTATTCATTCTATACTGGCATTCAAGGGAATGCATAGCCTCTTTGTGTACTTGGAGACGCTCGAATAATGACACGGACATTCCTTCGTCTCTAAATGTTTTCTTTTGTGCTCTCTTTCTTTCTACATTGAGGTATTTATGAAAAATCACTGTAAATTCAACTATGCTTTTAAATACTAACGAGCACTTTCGATTTTGAACAAGAGGTGACAGTTGGTGAGCATCTCCAACAAGAACAAAACGACTGGCAGCGACAATAGCGGATATGACAACCGGCTCCAGCACCTGCACATAGATTTCAATCAGTAAGCAAAGGAACTGGGTCAACAACTCTGTACAGTTTCTCAACGTTGAGGTTGGGAAATGTCTACATTTCGATGCTAGAAAGCTTGAACACTTTGAAAGGAACCAGTACTTAGGAAGTGTAGGAAAGCGTCCTAGTGACGGCTACGTAAAGATGGAAAATCCCCGTCCCATCGTAATGCTTACGACTGCGAAAAAGTAGTTAGTGCGAATGCAATAATAGTGAGCTGTAGTAGGGATTCGCGGGAGCGAGTGCCATGTAACACCTATGTGACTGTATATACCGCCACTTTTCTATTCCATATTGTGCACTGCACATCAATGAGAGGTTGTGAAAGGAAAGAGCCTAGCCAAGAGTGGTTAAAAGTTCATTGAATTATAACTGACTCACCATGGATGCTTCGTCTATTATACAGTATTCAAACTTCCTCCAGGAGAATAGTACGTCTCGAGGTACATAGTGGCATGTGCTGGCAACAAGCGGCTAAACGATAAATGATATG